GTGTGTTTTTGTGTGTTTGTGTGTTTTTGTGTGTTTGTGTGTGTAGGTGTGAGAGTGTGTGTTTTTGTGTGTGTGTTTGTGTGTTTTTGTGTGTGTGTTTGTGTGTTTGTGTGTGTGTGTTTGTGTGTTTTTGTGTGTTTTTGTGTGTTTTTGTGTGTTTGTGTGTGTAGGTGTGAAAGTGTGTGTTTGTGTGTGTGTGTTTCAGTAAAAAGAGGGAATCAGTAGGTTTGAGTCTTCTCTGAGCTCCTCTGTTGGTTTAAACCGGTAAAGTTTTAATTTCTTGGGCTCTGAACAGCTTCTGTGTGTCTCCTGCTCAATCAGCCGCTGCAGCGAGATGCAACGTGACTGATCTCAGATCTGTGCAACGACAATAAGACGCTGTGAGAAGAAGAATTCTTCAAAAACAACACAACGTTTTATGTTTTTAAAGTCACAGAATCATAAATAAATAATGAGGCGGTGAAGGGTTTGATGGTAATTTAACTAAATGTGAAGCTGCCAGCGAATAACAGATAAAAACGAGAAGCACGTACATGTGCAGATATTCACATTAAAGCTGCACGACGCTGAAAAACACTCCGACGTGTTTAGTTTGACTTTGATGTGAAGGAATCCAATAATAATAATAATAATAACTGTATTTGAAAAGAATCCTTCTAGAACGTTTGAGCTGATTTTGTTCATCTGCACAGAAAACAAAAAGTCATTTAGGAGAAACTCTGGTTCCTCCAGACTTTCAGCAGCTCTCATACAAACCGTTAAATGTGCAGTCGGAGATGTTAATTCCTCATCAAACAGATTCAGATTCATTTAATATAATATCTGTCTTCTGATGCAGCTTTGTGACGGTTTGCAGCTTCATCAGCCAGCAAACATTAACGCTCACACGTCTCATCAGTCCAATCTCAGCTTGTTCAGGATCAATCCAGAGTTTTTACAGTTTCCTGGAGAATCTTTATTTTTCATGTTAAATGAATCAAACATGTTGGATTACAGATAACATCTAAAAGCTTTGATGAGGTGACATTATAGTTTATTTCTGTTCGTCCAAGTTAAAGACTCCTAAACTAAACTCTCAGTCAGAAGTCGGCTTGTTTCACCTTCTGCAGGTTTTTAGAGACAAACAGCTTCGTTGTTCCTCCTTCGTGTCTGAGGACGACTCTGATCATCATTTGTTAGTCAAAAGAGTTTTGTGGATTCTGTCCGTCTGAGCTTCTCACGTCAGTTTATCAGCTGAAGAGTCAAACCGTGGATGAATCAGAGACTCGTCGAGCAGCAGAGAATAAAACGACGTCTGTTCCAGCTCTAACGTTCTGCTTCACCAGGAGCTCATTTTATTCTCTGCTCTCGTTCTTCTAGAAGCTCTTTGTTGGAGTTTTCAAAGTGATTCAACAGTTTTTTTTTTTACCTCTATGCTCCTTTAAAATAAATCAATCAGATTTCGATATAAAAACGTCAAAATCTGGAAGCAAAAGTGTCGAAGAAAATCTGTGTTTTAAAAAAAAAAAAGTAAAACATCGAAAATTAGAGCAAATATCTGTAAAATAATCACATTTAAATACAAAAAACAGTCATTTTATGGTCACGCGCTGTACAAGTAAACGTAAAATCTGTCAAATAACAGTTAAAATTATTTAAATGCAATTAATTAATTAACATTATTAATTATTTAAAATTGTTTTCCATGTTTTAAGCCTGAATATACAAACTTTTTCTTGTAAATAACTTTTTTTTGAGCTTGTTCAAATGCAATAAAACTGTTATTTTATGGTCACTTTATAAAAAAAACACATCGTATTCATAGAAATGTCGATTTTTTATGTGGACATTTTTACAGTTTCGGCCTGTTTGAACTGCTTTTTCATTAAAATTAAAATTAAGATATTTTTCTGTTATTATCTGTAACTAGAGTTGTTTTTAAAGCCATTTTTCAAATCTTAATCTACAAATGTTTATTTTTTTGTAAATAATTTAGATTTTATCTGATTTAAAAACAATAAAAATAGTGTCATTTTACTGTCACACATTCTAAAAGAACAAATGTGTTTTTTTTGTGCATTTTTTTTGCTCTCATCTCATTTTTTCTCGCTGTGCGCTCATTTTTCACTCCAATATAAAGTCCTGCAGAACTTCTGAGTCAGTCGGACTTCTCTGCTGCACAGAGGACATCAGAACATCTCAGAAAGTGATTCATCTTTGAAGGAGATGTTTCGATGGCAGTGACTTTAAAATATTCAGACGGTCACACTGTCGGTATCCTCAGGATTAACGGTGTCGACGTGATGAAGCAGCTCCTCACATGATGCTAATGTTCATCCCGTTAGAGCGAGTGCATCATCCAGCAGCTCTTAATCCTGACTGATGTCACCGTCTGCAGCAGCCTGGACGTGATTAAAGGAGCTGGGATGTTCCTCCTGCTTCGTTCACGATCTTCTGCAGCAGAAACGGTGACGAGCAGCTTCACGATGCTGAAGAGTCAGAACCAAGTGAAGTCTGAGGAGCAGAGAGCCTCAGAGACTGGAGTCACTTTCTGTCATTTAGGACCAAAACCATCGTCTGTGAAATACCTAAAAAAAAAAAACAACCTGTGAAACCACGTTAAGGTTTCGATGTCTCCAGAAATAAAACTCCTACAGACATGAAACCTGGCGGTGACTCAGACTGAACGGTTTCCATCTGATCCGATGATTGAATGGATCCATCAGGAGACATTTCTAATTATTGGACCTTAAAAATGAGAAAAAAAAGGTGCAACATGTTCAATCCAAGCTGGTGTTGATCCAGAAAGTTCCTGTCAGTGTAGCTATATATATATTTCTACTAAAATCCAGTCTTTGGTCACATTCCACCACCTGTCGAGGTTCTAACATCAGTAGAACCTGAAGTTGGACCAGACGAGGTTCCAGGTTTTAGATATTTTAAAAAATGAAAATGCAGATTTTCATCCATTTACACTATTTTTGAGTCCTTTGGAGCAGGCTGTAGGTTATTTAGGGTTGTTTTTGTGCAGTTCTGGACACAGTTTGAGTCATTTTGAACATTTTTTTGTGTGTAATTTGTCCTGATTTTAGGTCGTTTTGGACATTTTGGACATTTTGGACAGTTTGGACGCAGACAGAATAGTTCCCAGTGGATCCAAATGATTTAATGGTTCCAGCAGAGAACCAAGTTGTAATTAGTGGTTCCTGAAAGTCCCAGAAAGTTCCTGTCAGTGTCTATCTATGGATGGATCCATGTTTCTTTGGTCACATTTCTCCAACTGTTGAGGCTCTAACATCAGTAGAACCTGATGAGGTGAAGTTGGACCAGACAAGGTTCTGCTATAATTTCCTGTGACCTGCCTTTCATTTCTCTTGTGGTGTTTTTATCTTTTTACAAACCAAACTGCGTTTTTCATCTGTAAATGTCCTAATCATTGGTTTTGTCCGTCCTCAGACTCCACCAAGAAGCTGAAGGATGTTCTGGAGGAGTTCCACGGTGAAGGAGTTCTGTCCAAATACAACCCGGAGCAGGTGAGTTCTTCTCATCAGACTGATGTCGGTCCTCCACTTGCCGAGTCGTCCCGGCTTCAGATCAAGTCGAAGGTTTGGACTCAGCATCGACGTCAGCAGGTCGGCTCAGTCTGGACTGAAGGTCTGGTTTCTTTAGGTCTGTTCTTCTGCTGTATCTCCATCTGAAACAGGTTAATGCTCACATTCACTGAGACGACTCAGTTCAGGTTCAGCTGGTCGTCACTTCTCTTCAGGAACAGTTAAAACTGACTGATGGGCCTCAGACAGGCTGGACTCTGTTAGAACTAGAAGAGCCTCAAGGACCCCTGGGGATCTTCACAGAACCATGCTAGCTTTGGTTGGTTCCTCGAGGAATCTTCAACAACTCAGTTCAGAGAGGAGGTTTCTGAAGGAACGTCTGATAACCTGGAGGATGTTCTTGTTGTTGGCAGTCGGTCAGACACTCTGAACCTGCATTTACTCTGATTTCTATTCACTTTATGAATCATGAAGTAAAAAAATCTGTTTTTGCAGCTAAACTATTTCATTTCAGTTGTATCGGTGCTCATGACGTTTACAATCGGTCTGTTCTGACTTAAACTATCATCAGACATTAGAACGTCTTGATTCTTTGGTGAGTTTTCTGCTGGAAGACGCATCAGGATGAAGATCAGACGTGAACTCTGACTGAACATTTTCACCTTGAAGCTTTTGTGTTTGATGAAAGTTTAGACAACATGGATGCAGACTTCTCCACATCCAGCAAACCTCAGGAGTTCGTCTAAACCTTTTACTGGTGGTGTCGGTGCTGGTGACCTCTACAGTGTCTCTGGGTGACAGAATCAGTCTGTTTCTACTCAGTAGAACCAACAGTAGAACCACTTACTTCACTCTGACTGATGGAGACTAGAAGCTTCTCTGTGAGGCGTTCAGGGAACATCTGCAAACTGTAGCTCCGGACAACAACCTGCGCTACACTCATCATCTTTATTCATATGACTAGGTGAGTTTTCATGGTTGAGTTTGGCAGCAGTAGCCCAGGAGGAGGTCGGGGTGGATGGACGGCTCAGCATACACTTAGTACAGGGAACCTTTAATAAATCTATAAAAGAAGGGAAACAAGTTATTGTCAGTTAAGGTTCCATCATAGAAAGTTCAGGGTTCTAGGAGTCGTTGAAACTCTGATGAACATGGTTGGATGCAGACTTTGGTTCACGCCTGAACATTCGTTTATTGTTGGTCTGTTTGATCACTAATCATCTGTGTCAATACTTCTGGTGTTTATGATGAAGATGGTTCTCTAAAAAATTCTTGCTAGAACCCAAACCGGTGCCTTAAACCAGAACCAGGCGAGTTTTAGTGTGCTTCAGTTCTGATTTAATCCTCTGAATCCCGTTGTGGGATCATTTTATTTGTTGTGGCGTCCCGGTTCGTGTCTGTTTCCCTGCTGTGCCCACGTACTATGATCTGCTCCTTATTATGGGATGTGAGCTTCCTCTCGGTGTCGACATGACGAACGGCCGGCTGGATGCTTGGCGCCGTTCGATCCAGACTGACCCGACGGTGGGTTGGCGCCGCGATGCCCACTGTAGTGCTGCAGCCATCAGCGTGCATGTGAGCGTGCATGTGAGCGTGCACCAGCAGCAGTGAGTCATGGGTGGGTGGAGGAATCTACTGACCTCCATTAGCGCATGTTCTGCTGCTGCCTCTCTGGAGTCCAGCATGAAAGAGAAACACGAGCGACACGTTCTGATCTCTGGATTTCATCCTTTGGACAGTCGAGAAAACAAACAGCTTCATGAGGAGAACGTCGACCAGAGACTGGACTGATTTATGTGATTTAGCTGCTGATGTGGCTGATTTTAGGGGAAGCACACATTAGAATCAGCACAAGCTCCATTTATTTAGTACTTTTACAGACTTACTTTCATGATTTTATGACTTAAACTGATGAACTCTCGTCTGACCAAAGTCTCATTGGTGGATCGATCGCTGGAGGACAAAGAGATGCAAAATCACTAAAATCAGACCCAAAACCACCAAACTGAGACAAAAAACAAACATTAAAAGATGCAAAACAACCAAACATCGAATGAACAATATCAGACAAAACAAACCACAAACAGACAAAATGTAAACAGAGAGACAAAGACACAACATGCAAAAATGATCTCAACTGAAAAAAAACAGCCATAAAATAACAAAAATAAGATACAAAATGATCAAATTGGGACAAAAACAACCAATAAAAGATGCAAAATAACCAAAAATCAACAATATTAGACAGAACGACCAAAAACAAACAGAAAAACAGACAGAATGTAAACAAAGAAGGAAAAAGATGCAAAATGATCTCAACTGAAAAAAAAAAGTCAATAAAAATGACCACAAACAGATAAAACGACAACGAAGAAGGAAAAAGAGTCAAATCAGACACAAAAAGGGACAAAAACAACCACGAAGAGATAAAATGACAACAAAAAGATGCAAAAATCAAACCAACAAGCAAACAAACAAACACAGACAGAATGGAAACAAAGACAGAAATGACTTCAACTGAACAAAAACAACCATAAAAGAGAAAAACTTACCAAAAATGAGACACACAATGACTACAAACAGGCAAAACGACGACAAAGACGGAAAAATCAAACACAAAATGGCCAAAATGGAGGACTGACATCAGAGAGGTTGTTTCTGCGTTTAGTTCAAACTGTTGAATGTAAACTTTGCAAACTAAATGAACAAGATGTGACACAAAATGATCAAATTGGGACAAAAACAAACACTGAAGATGCTAAATGAACCGTATCAGACTCAAAGTGACGACTGAAGCCGTCTGTGTTTCTGCATTTCATTCAAAGTGACGGAAAAGTCGAATGTAAACTTTGCAAACAAACTGGACGAGCTGTGACACAAAAGTTGAGATAAAAACAAAAAGAGATGCAAAATCCTAAAATGAGACACCACGACGGCTAAAGGAAGCCAAGCGACCACCGGTGACGTTCTCCTGATGACTGGTCGGCGTCGGTCTTCACCTGGACATTTCGATTGAATCATTGTGCAGCTCTGCCGAAGTGAAAAAGATGAAATGAAGCTTGTAAATGATTGATCTCTGCCCTGAGGGGATGTTCATCTGCTCGGAGACAAGAACCTCCTCAGACCTCCTCCATCCTGAGCCTCCGTCTGAAGGCTTCCTGGAGGATCGGCCCGAGGCCCGGCGCTGGTTTGGCCGAATAAGGAGCCGAGTGATGCGGCGTTCGGGTTCGACCCTATGAAGGAGGATCCTCATCGTCACGTCCGTCAGAAACCGGCTTAGTAGAAACATATTTCTCTCCGTCCTGACGGGCAGCTGGTTCCACTTTGTCCTATTTTGGAGCGAATCAAACGCAGACGTCTTCGGTTGGACTTTATTATATTTCCTGGGTTTATTTGCTTTTGCTGCCACTAAGTCTGGTTAAAGCCTGAGAGGAGATGTGATGTTCTGCTGGATCAGGGGTCGGCTCAGTTCATCAGAGCTGAAACAACGAAGCAGGCGGATCCAGTCGGCGTCTTGATTTAAGGAGCTGCTGCAGTAAACCTGTGGCTGCACTGAGGCGGAAAACAGAAACATTAAAACTGGATTTATAAAATAAATCTACGCTTCTTGGGCTGACGTTGCTGCTCTCGTCGTCCTGAACCTCTAAAGTCAGTCCTGTCGGGCTCCTTTACGTCCTGATGAGCAGCTTTCTCTTTTGTTGTGAGAAGAATCGTCTCTCTGGCGCCACCTTGCTGTTCATCCTGGTAGCAGACTGGTGTCAGACCTCTGGCGGCCCAACGAGCTCCAGAAACGATAAAACTCTAAAACACCAACCGTCGGTTAGCCGAGACTCCCCAGAGGTTACCGGCAAACACACCGACAACGTAACAGGAACATTTTGTTGTATTTTAGCAAACATAAAACCTGCAGAAGCCACTAAACCTCTTCACCTGTTCAGCGTCTCATTTACCACTATTTTAAAAACAAAACAATAAAAGCAGCGACTTTTGAATCAAACATTCGCTGTTTTCTGCAGAAGTGTTTCTGGTTCAGTGTCAGTTAACTGATCCAGATCCTGGACTTTGTTTACATGTAAACATCAGCAACAGCTCTGTTGTTGTCGACTCGTATCTCCGGTGGGTTTGTCAGAGAACGTTATAGTAACAGTTTGGAAATGACTTGGGAACAGAAAATCCTCCCTGTCTCCACAAAACTGTGTTCTCAGTTACATTTTGA